CTAAATCATTCCTCATTTGCTTTCTGGAGAAAGCTACATTTTACCTCCCCGATAATTTACCCAAGCTGGCAACAGTAGACCTTAGATTACCATACTGTTGGGATTAGGCCCAACGCCCTCTTAGGGCCATATGTAGCAGGCCCAACTGCGCACCCACAGGCCCAAGAGGAGGAGACATACCCACATGGGCAGCACCACGTGGGCCAATGAGAGGCTTACATGTGCAGATACATGTCAGTACTTGGGGCTATAAATACCCCCCAACCACCTCCGAAGAAGGTAATTAATCTCTACGCTTTTCTCTCTGCAATTACTCCTTGAGAGCTTCTCTCTCTAGATCCTTGAGTATTGCTGACTTGAGCGTCGGAGTGTTTTCCCCGAGGAAACAACCTCGGGATTTTCAGGTGTGGAAGCAGCTAAGGACTTCAACAGTGTTGGATTGTGAAGCTGCCGAAACAGTTGGCGCCGTCTGTGGGAAGCTCGAACAAGAAGTCGTGTGACTTAACCTGCTGAGAGACAAAATGGTTCGTACCTTTATAGGAGATCGCCCTCCAAGAAATGAAGTGGACGAACAGGAGGACATACAAGTATCTGAGCCTGGGTTGAATGACTTTAGGCCAATGCCTAGAAATCTTTTTGTAGGGGGAGCCGAACAAGATCACCTAAGTGACACGGATGATGAAAGAACACCAACGAGGTATGCAACCCAACCTGAACAGTTCCAAGTTCCAACGGGAACAAGGCGAAGACCTTCTAGACCGCACAATTCACAGCATGAACGGCTTGAAAGATCAACAGAACCTGCTCGGACAACCGAGCTCGAAGAGAGAACTAGAGTTCTCGAAATGGCAATGGGTAAAATCCTTGCCCGCTTAATCCTGACGACCCCCTGATCCCTTTGCTGAACAGGAATGCACCACCAGCTGCAGTTGTTGCAACTGGAAACTCCCCTGCTCTGAGCAATATAGTAGTGCCGACCAGACCTAGGGGAAGTGGGAAATTGAATACCGAGCCCAGCTCGTCCAAATATAGTGAAGAATTGATGAGAAAGAACACGGACCTTGAAAGGCAACTGCGGGATGTGCAGAAATCCATTGACGAGCTGAAAAGCCCCAGGTCGCACCAACAGACCTTGGATCTGGATAGTGCTCCGCTGAACCTATCCATCACAGCGGAACCATATCAAGAGGGATTCAAAATTCCCCACCTAGAGACATATGATGGCACGAAAGACCCGGATGAACATCTACACACCTATCAAGCCATCATGAGGATTCAAAACGCCAATGATGCTATGATGTGCAAGGTGTTCCCGGCGACACTGAAATCAACAGCCAGAAGATGGTATCACAAACTCCCCAGACATTCAATAGATTCATTTTCCCAGCTCGCCAAGCTGTTCTCAAACAAATTTGCGAGCCAAAGGGAGATCAAGCGTACAGCAACCGAGATGATGCAGGTTAACCAGAAGGAAGGGGAGTCTTTGAGGGATTACATGCAGCGGTTCAACAAAGCCACTTTGGACATTGATAATGTCCCAGACACGATCTGCCTGTCCGCCCTGTTGCATGGGTTGAAGCGTGGCCGGTTCCTAGACGACCTGCTTGAAAACCCACCGAAGACGTGGAACGAGGTGAATGACAGGTCGGCCAGCTTTATACTGTCAGAGGACTTTCAATCGTCCAAGCAACGAGCCGATGATAAGCCGAGCAGAGGCCATGAACAGCAACCGCGAAGAGAAGAAAAGAAGAAGCAGAAGGTCGGTGAGCAATGGGGGAAACCAGTTGAGTTTCCGAAATATGCCAGTTACATTCCTTTGACCTTACCTAGGTCTCAAATCCTGGCACAAATTCAGCACTGGGTTCGGAGACCTCCACCCCCACTACATGATTCCCCGAGGGCAGATAAGAGCAAGCATTGCGACTACCACCGTGTATATGGTCACAATACAGAGGACTGCCAACACTTGAAGGACGAGTTAGAGTTTTTGGCTCGCAACGGGAAGCTAGAAGGGTATGTTCAGAAGTCTCACACCCAGCAACCCACTCAAACTCACTTTGTACAGGCGTACGACCGGCCTCAAGGACAGAGGTACCAGCATGGAGGGACACAGGACGCATATCAGGATAACCAGTACCCTTCTGAACAGGGCAGAGCATACCGAGGACGTCCTTTCAACAGGAGAGGGCAGGGACTGAGAACTACCGCCCCGAATCAAAAAGACAGGAAAGGGGTAGGTTATGCTGGGATACCACCACCTTCTGGTACAATAAACATGATATCGGGTGGTGTTCACTCAGGGGGCCAGAGCGCCCGAGCTCGCAAGGCATATGCCCGACAGGTGATGACCGTCAACAAAAGTAGACCCTTAAAATGGCCGTTTGAGGAAGCAGAATGGGAAAACATGCCCATAACATTCAGCCCGACAAATTACAAGCGAACAGAAGGAGAGCCCGACATTATGATGCCCCATGCAGATCCCTTTGTGGCAACAGTTCATATAGGCAATCATAATGTCAATAAGGTGTTTATTGACACTGGCAGTTCACCAGATATCCTATACTGGGGTTGCTTCCAGAAGATGCAGCTAAATCCGAGCTCGCTGCAGAAACACGAAGGGTCAATATACGGGTTTAATAACCAGCCCGTCCCAGTTGAGGGAGTTATTACTCTTCCTATATATGTGGGCTCAGAACCGCGCTTTAGGATGGCTTCTATCACCTTCCTGGTCGTTAAGATGGAATCAGCTTTCAATGCTATATTAGGAAGAGCCACCTTGTGCGAGCTGAAGGCTGTTATCTCACAGCCCCACCTCTGTATGAAGTTCCCGACTCCTCAGGGGGTAGGAGTGCTGAGGGGAAATCAAAAGATGGCTAGAGCCTGTTATCAAGACACGTTCAAGAAGGTCGAGCTCGCCGCAGCCCCGGCGAGTGTTGAAGGTCGAAAGCCAACCCAGCTCGGTCAACAGACAATGAGTATATCCGACATTGAGCATCGACCTGAGGGTGTTGAGCAGAAGGCAGAGCCAGTAGAGCCAGTCGAAACGGTGCCTTTGAACCCGGGTGTGCCGGAAAGGACAGTGAAGATCGGCACTAAACTTACAGGCGAAGAGCGGGCAGAACTTCTGGAATTCCTAAGGAATAATCAGGATGTGTTCGCGTGGACTACGGACGAGATGCCCGGCATTCCGGCAGAGTTGACAGTCCACAAGCTCAGCACAGACCCCACCAAAAGGCCAGTGGTTCAAAAACGACACCTTTTTGGCCCCGAGAAGCAAGCTGCCATTGACGAGGAGATACAAAAGTTGCTACAAGCAGGCTTCATTAGAAGAGTGGAGTACTCTGAATGGGTGTCCAACCCTGTGCTCGTCAAAAAACCAAATGGCAAGTGGAGGATGTGCATTGATTTTACCAACCTCAATGACGCATGCCCAAAAGACCCTCATCCCTTGCCAAATGTCGAAAAGTTAGTAGAGCGGGCAGCAGGACACGAACGGATGAGCTTCCTTGACGCTAGTTCGGGTTATCATCAGGTCCAGCTGTTGCTAGACGACCAGGAGAAAACAGCTTTTTACGCTGGTGATGCAATCTACTGCTACGTCATGATGCCGTTTGGCTTAAAAAATGCTGGAGCAACATACCAGAAGCTGGTGCAAATCATCTTTAAGCTCCAGATCGGCAGGAACATAGAAGTGTATGTAGATGATATGATATTCACCAGCGTGCGAGCTGAGGATCACATGGATGACTTGGATGAAACATTTCAAAATTTGCGTCGAGCTCAAATGAAACTGAATCCCTTGAAATGCACATTTGCTGTGGAATCAGGAAAATTCCTAGGGTACGTGGTATCCAAGAAAGGAATCGAAGTAAACCCAGAGAAGGTTGAGGCCGTTCAGCAGATGGAGCCGCCAAGGACTGTCAAAGACGTGCAGCGTTTGACGGGCCGTGTTGCTGCACTGCACAGGTTTATAGCCAGGTCGGCAGAAAGATGCCTCCCGTTCTTCAAGGCCCTGCGAGAGCCCAAGAACTTTCAATGGACCGATCCGTATCAGCAGGCCTTTGACGAGCTCAAACGATATTTGGCATCAGCGCCCCTGCTGTCCAAGCCTGTGGAGGGGGAGAGCTTGTATCTGTATTTAGCGGTTACAGCAGAGGCGATTAGCTCGGTCTTACTCAGGGAAGAGAATAAGAATCAGAAGCCTATCTGTTATGTGAGCAAAGTCTTACAAGGCGCCGAACAGAATTACCCACTGGCAGAAAAGGCCGCTTTCGCCCTAGTTTACACAGCTCGTAAGTTGAGAGCTTACTTCCAATCACATCAGATTATCGTCTATACCGATTTTCCGTTGAGAAAAATACTGCAGAAACCTGAGCTCTCTGGTCGGCTTATTGGGTGGAGTGTCGAGCTGAGTGAATACGATCTCAAATTTCAGCCTCGCACAACCATAAAAGGCCAGGCCATTGCAGACTTTCTGGTGGAATGTATCTCGGCGACGGAGGGAGACAAGCCATTTGATTACCCACCCTGGGTTCTGTATGTTGATGGAGCTGCTAACATCGAAGGGTCAGGTGCTGGGGCTGTGCTGATAGGCCCAGAGGGCTTTAAATCTGAGCATGCATTGCGGTTTAAGTTTCAGACCACTAATAATGCTGCTGAATATGAAGCCCTCATTTATGGTCTGAAGCTAGCGTCCGAGCTGAAGGTACAGAGCATCCAAGTTTTCAGTGACAGTCAGCTCGTGGTGGGCCAGGTAAATGGCAGCTGTGAAGTGAGGGATCCCCAGCTCTGCCGTTATACCTCTGTGGTTAACAAATTGAAGTCAGGCTTTGTCTCCTTCCAGATCGACAAAATACCAAGAGCAGACAACCACCGAGCTGACGAGCTGTCAAAATTGGCCTCCTTGCAGGACTTTACCCCTCAGAGGTCAACTGTCGTCGAAGTGCTGGACGCTCCGAGCTACACTGATTTCACGGTCGAGTGTCAGCTACTAAGCACAGATCCCTCCACGCCGAGCTGGACTACCCCACTCATAAATTATCTACAAAGTGGCGAGCTACCCGAAGATCTATCTGCTGCGAAATTGATTAAGCGAAAGGTAGCACATTTCACTTTGTTGGACAATCAGCTCTACAAACGGGCAGCCTCAATGCCCCTATTACGTTGCCTTACTCCTTACGAAGCTGAATACGCCGTGAGAGAAGTTCACAAGGGAGTATGTGGCACGCACATCGGTGGCAGAACTTTAGCTCGGAAGCTCCTAAGGCATGGTTATTACTGGCCCACTATGGTCGAGGACGCGCAGAACTACGTCAAAAAGTGCCCGACCTGCCAGTTCAATGCTGATGATATTCACATGCCAGGTACCCGAGCTCGTTCTATAGTTTATGCTAACTTAGTAACTGTCTACGAGCTGAGTATAAGTACCTTCCTTTAAACAGGGGAAATGCTGTCATCTCTTACGTCTCCCTGGCCTTTTGCTCAGTGGGGTGTCGACCTGCTCGGCCCTTTTATCAAAGGCAAAGGAGGCTACACTTTTCTGGTCATCACAGTGGATTACTTCACTAAGTGGATAGAAGCTAAACCGCTGTCCACGACAACAGAAAGAAAAATAGAAGAATTCCTGTTCAATTCAATATTGTGCAGGTATTCTTTGGTGACTGATTATAAATAAAACAAATGCAAACGCGATTTGTAGCTCAGCTCGCTAGTCTGTGTGCAAGTTCGGCATACCTAAGCGAATTATCGCCGACAATGGGCCACAGTTTCGAGCAGCAGCGCTGAGATCGTTTTGTGACGACTATGGCATCGAGCTCGCTTTGACGTCCGTGTATACCCCACAGTCCAACGGGCAAGCCGAGTCCGCCAATAAAATCGTCTTGCGAGGCCTCAAAACACGCGTTTTGGCTACGCATTCTAATTGGGTTGACGAGCTCGATAAAGTGCTTTGGTCTTGTCGCACCACACCCAGCTCGGCCACGGGCGAAACCCCTTTCAGCTTGGCCTATGGAGCTGAAGCCGTCATCCCAGTAGAGGTTGGATTGCCATCCGATCGAGCAGGCCGGCATGACGACCTCAACAATGAGCAACTTTTGAGAGAGAACCTGGACTTTGTAGAAGAGGTCAGGGAGATGTCTAGAATAAGAAACGTGGCACATCAAAACCGCGTTGCAAAATTTTACAATAAAAGGGTCCGAGCTCGCCAGTTTCAAGTTGGCGACCTGGTCCTACGTAAAGCTGGATTAACTAACACTCATTCGTACATGGGCAAGCTCGCTCCCAATTGGGAAGGCCCTTATATGGTTGTTCAAGTTAAACGACCTAGTTCTTACGTGTTAGCAGATATACAAGGGCGTCAGCTACCTTACATTTGGAACATACAGAATCTTAAAAAATTTTACAGTTAGCCTGCATACTATTCTTTTATTCAAATCGTTATTCGACAGTTGTAAATAAGGGCACACCGGAAATACAACAAAAATTCAAAGAAATATTCATTTTTGTATTTCATCAAAGATGTTTACATTGAACGTACATGCGATATGGATCCATTGATCAAATACAAAAATGCAAAAACAAGGTACAAAAGTTCAAAAGAAAAAACCCTAAATCTAGTCACCTGTCAGATCGATGGGCATGGATGCATCAGCAGCGGCTGCAGGAGAGCGAGCAGGAGGAGATCGGGCTGCGGGCTCGGAGGCTGGCGCGCTGACCGGTGAGCTAACTGACACACCAGCGGGCTGAGAGTTGGGCGGGGTGCTTGAAGGCTCCTGCTCAGCCACAGGAGCACCCTCTACCCAGGCGTCAAAGGAGGGCAGTCCTGTTGGATCCTCCCCGTCCTCCAGCACGGACGGCGGCCAGACGGGCACACCCTCCTCGTTCAAGTCCCACCTCAGCCTCACAGTTGTGTCAGCGAGGGGAGCAAGGCTCTTACCCTGCTCGTCGAGCTCCTCCTCGTCAAAGAAGACCAGCTCACGAATTGGAAAATCTGGGCGGTGGTGCAACACCTTCCCACGAATCTCATTGTAGATTTCCGTGGTTACGTTTGCAGACGCCACCGCCACTGCGTCTTGGAATGCGGCTGAACCGACCAGCCACTCTGCACCTTGAGCCCGTGCCATCGCGATAGAGCGCCCGTGAGTGACTTTCAGCTCATTCAAGGCCTCTTCAGTTGCGTTCAGATTCCGGGCAGCTTCAGCGACCTGATTCCTTAAGGAGGCTAGCTCGTGCTGAGTGCGGTCTCGGTCGGCCTCGGCCTTCTTCGCCCGTTCCTCAACCCGGACGGTTTCCTCCTTGGTCGCCTGAATCCCGCTTTCCTTTTCAGCCCGCGCTCAATCCAGCTCCTCCCTGAGCTTGTTATTCCTGTTGGTGAGCTCGTCTGCTCGGCTCTCCGCGGCAGCAGCTCGGTTCGCCATTTCAGAACCTTGCAGACGATTCACATCGTCCACAAGGCTAGCCTTCTCAATGGCCAGCTCTTTATACTTGGCACCGAGCTCGGTGTTCTCTGTACGAGCCGCCTGCTCGCTCTCGTACAGTGCCACCGCGTAATTGAACGCCTGTCAAACAGTTGTCACTGTCAGTCTCTAAAAAGAAAAAGCAAAATGTTCAAGCAGGTACGAGCAGGTACTTACATCCATCAACTTAATCATGGCGACCTGACCGCCATGCTGTTGCATAAAGGCTTTGGCCCGCTTATTGTCAGAAGGGGGCACAAAACTGTGCATGGCTTGCACCATGGCAGGCTGCAATTCTGCCCGCACATAAGTGAAGCCCTCAGGATAAGCAATCCTGG